CCCTTACAAGAGGTCAAATTTTGTTCCCAGGGCACACCTTGGCTTCATTGACCAGCTTAAGGGAACATGGCAAAGGCTATGTCACTAAACAAGAATGGTTGGAAGTATGTTTGCTTTGTGAATATACAGACGTAATTTCTGATAGAACCATAAAAAATAAGCAAGCTTAAAAGTATGCACCTGTCTGCAGACACTTAGGAAGTGTGATTGTGTATTTACATCATTAACTGGGCTATGCTCCTATCACCTCAATAGCTTCTGGTGCTAATTTAGGGCTTCCAGCTACTTCAGTCCTCTCACACTGCATAATCAAATCAATGATTCATCAAAGAGATGAAGTACTTGACTTGCTCATTTTTTGGGTTGTTATTTTTCTTCACATAAATGGTGTGATTTAGATGGATGTGACTGCCATTGCCTTATAATATAGGTAGAATGAGGTAACCTTGGTCATAGCATGCTACGACCTACTTTGAATGTATTAATCCTCTAAAACTTCATGCTCTATAGACAAATAATATTAAGAAATTCTGCACATTTCAAAAATCCTGATAGGTGAAATTTTCTCTTTTGAAAATGCTAATAGAAAATACATTTCCCATGTTAAAAATAGAGTCATATGCACAAAGCAAACCAAGTTCTTTCACATATATATTTAACTCAACTGGCATGAATTATATGTAATTGGTAAGGAAATTATCTAAACTACTATTTGGCATGCATATGTCAAACTTGCCCTTAATTTAGATTTAATTACTCATAGCTGATGCACATATAATTTAATGAAGGCACAGCAGTCCTATTACATGCTCTAGATTATCCAATTAAGCAATATTCACCCAGCATTTAACTATACCTTCACTATGAATGAAATTCATTTTCTTTCATAAAATGCAGGGAAGACATAAGCAGAAGCAAATCAGCAGTCCCTTTGCACTGGGAATCTCTGTTTCTTTTAATAATGTCCAGTTAATAATTACTTTACTTCCAAATTTCTTTCCTGTTTGCCTATCCAAAAATTTTCCTTCTGCCTGCTTTGACATCTCCTGTGCTCAAAACATCTAGTTAGTTATTGTCCCTTCTAGTTTCATCACCAAGTTATATAGTAATGTCTCCTTATCCTTGGTGAATGGATCTATCACGAATGGTTAAAAATAAGTGTTTATGTAATTGAAATACATATTAATATAGTTAAAATTATTATGGTCTTTCAAAACTCTTTACCACCCACAACTCTTACAGCAGAATACGGGGATGCCCATTTCCAAAACCAGTGTTGAAAGAGGAATAAATAATTATGGAGATGGGAATGAGAGCTATTCTAACATTTTCAAGAGCCCATTTTGTGAGAAAGTCCCCCATTAACAACTCTGTGTGTGTGTGTGTGTGTGTGTGTGTGTGTGTGTGTGTGTGTGTTAGCAGCAGAATTGCCTTCACTTGTACCAGCAAAAGCAAACAGAACTGGCCTCAGGCAAGTCTTATTTTAATTCCTTCTACAATCCATTTCTGATAGCTTGGATCTAGCCCAAAGGAACATCCTACAAAATCCCTACCTCCTGTCCTTCTTTAAGATAAACTAATTCCCAGAATGACTCCCTTGAACTTGTTTCAACCTATCCATTGAAAGACTCTTCTAAAATCCAGAAAACAAATTAAAGAGAGAGAGATTTCAAAGAACAAAAAGAGATGAATAAGGACAAGATAAACAAATGAAATATTTGTGGCCAATACTGTTTGCCTAGGACTAGACAGAGTTCTGCTAAAATACAACACAAATCTATCCCATAGAGGAGGATCAGGTAGGTGTGCAAGAAAAAATAAAGAGGAGGCAAGTGGATGTGAACACAGATCTGACCAACTGACCAAGAGTTTTTCTTTATGGAAGTAAAAGGCACCTCCAAAGGATACAAATTCTTTTCAAAATGTTATATCTACTTCTAAATATTCCAACCATTCTAGTGTTAATTGTAAGTAAATTCATTCTTTTTTTAATATATTTTATTGATTTTGTACAGAGAGGAAGGGAGAGAGACAGAGAGTTAGAAACATCGATGAGAGTCATCGATCAGTTGCCTCTTGCACACCCCCCACTGGGGATGTGCCCGAAACCAAGGTACATGCCCTTGACCGGAATCGAACCCGGGTCCCTTCAGTCCCCAAGCCGACGCTCTATCCATTGAGCTAAACCGGTTTCGGCAGTAAATTCATTCTTAAAGAAAAAACAAACAAACAACTAGATAGGTTCCTTTTTGAAACTAGTACAAAATCCTATTATATTCATTAAAATATCAAATTATTAGCTCATAACATTCTGGAAAGCACACTTTTGTGTGCCAACCACATCAGTATTTCATGAGTCTTCTCCTGGGGAAATGGAGAAACTAAGTGTCTACAAAAACCCAAATTGTGGCTGGTTCCATGGCTGCTGGTTCTCTGCTTATTCTGCCTTCCCATATCCAGATGCCTCTATTTCCTTCATTATTTTCTCTTCCTGCTCCTCTTTCTCTTTCCCTGCCTTTCCTCAACTAGGACCTACATCTGCCTGTGGAACCTAGTCATGTCCTGAGGCTCATCAGAATGACTCCAGATTTTTTATGTTCCTCACTATTGACATTTAGGGCTGGATACTTCTTTTTGTAGGGGACTGTCCCATGCATTGTAAGGTGTTGAGCAGCATCTCTGGCCTCTACTCAACAGAATTCAGCAGCACCTCCTCCCTAACAGTGACACACAAAAATGTGCAAATTGCCAAATTTCCTGTCTGAGGGGAAAAAAATCTCCCCTAGCTGAGAATCACTGCAACGGTTGAATTTGTTTCACTTCTTAACCCTTAGGACTTAGGGTTAACAAGGGATAGAATGAAGACCAAGAGCTCAAAAATAAGCTCAAAAAGCATTTAATATCAAACAGGGAGGCAGAGTCCAATTTCTCTATGAATTCTAGATGATCTGCCAAGCTCAGGAAAATCTGTGAACACAATGCATTGTGCTTGTCTAAGTTATCGCTTAACAGGTTACATGAGATGCCATTTGGATGGAGGGGCCTTTGTGTTTTGACCTGAGCGACGGTGTCAGCTGGAATTTTGAGCAGGCTATAAATATCCAACATACTCTTGTATAACCCATTATGCTTCGTCAGGTGAAAACAAGGTGTCACTTCTGAGCCGTAGTGCTTTGTTGGCAATTCACTGTGAACTTGGGAAAGGAAGAAACCACGATGCTCAGATGACTAGAAACCGCCACTAACAAGGTGCCGTGGGCGCTTGTACTACTTTCTGAATGCTGGTTCTTTCTAGCGTTCTCTCTAGCCTTAGAAAATAGCCAGCTAAAATCCCACCTGCAAATTAGTGAGCTGAGAGGAGTTTCTTAAGATGTAGACTTGCTGGCATTTACTCGTTCTATCACAGTGAGTTAGTTCTCCAAGCACATTTAGTACCACTTCATACAAGAAATTTGTTAAAAAGCACGTAAGGCTTTCTGTGGTTCATGTTCCCTATAGGTTTCTCCTACATCACCCTCTGGACAGAGATTCTATTACGATGGGCTTCTGCATTAGGAAAGAAAAGATTTAGTATTACATTGCCTGCCAGGGGGGTTTGCCACTTTCTACATAAAACTAATAGCACCTCTTTTGCATATATTGTCTGTGCATCCTCAGAAAAATAGATAAACCAATTTGCATCTTTCAGCCTCTCCACAGCATTTGACACATTTCATTACTTCCTTCTTCTTTGAAATACATTTCACTCTTTCCTATCACAATTCTACCTTCTTCTTAATTCCAGCTTTCCTGCTGCTCATCAGTTTTTGTGACTCTTCTTTTTTAACTGTCTTTTGAATGTATTTATCTTTATCATGGAAGGTATTACATATGTCTCCCTTTCCCTTCATTGACCCTTTCTAGCCTGTGCCCCACCCCCCAGGCCTTCACCACACTACTGTCTGTGTCAGCCAGCCTCTGGGTTAATCAGGCTGCCTTGCTGAGGGTTCAGAGTGTCCAAGGAAAGAAAGCTTCCTAGAGGCTACAGGTATAGAGTTGGAGAAAATGTTGCTTTTGTTGTTTATGCAAAAGGATGCTAAAATGAAAGTTTTAAGAAGAGCAAAATACTTAAAAACCTACAGGGAGCTGCTACTCCCAGATTTACAAGTTTAGACATATTTAAACCCTCCTCCATGTGGATGTAGAAGAGCCTACGAGAGGAGTTACCTAGAGGGAGGCAGTGGCATGCTCTGACTCCCACACCCGCTTCCCAGCACCAAGTTCATGGGCCCTCGCAGTTCAGGGGGACACTGAGCACTGAGATCTGAGTTCTGCCTGAGAAATCTAATGGGAAGAGGGTGGCTCGACAGGCCTGTATAGCACAGGAGAGATGGGAAGGGGCTGGGAGAAACTGAGCACACAGAGACTGTTTAGGCAAAGAACATCTGGACACAGGTCATTAGAGAGAGGCTGGATCCTGTTTAAGAGACCAGAATGGGCTGATCAGAGTGCATTTTAGAATGTTTGCGTGATGGTTGTGGGAGGCAGAGAATTCACTTGCCTGAGAGGAAAGGAGAATATTACAGCCCTGGCTTGTAACGCCTGTTATCTGGGATCAGGGAAACATCTAGTCTTGAGCTGAAGTCAACAGAAAAGAACAGAGGCAAAAAGACCAGCAGAAAAAGGACACAAGAAGCATGGCCAAATGGCACGTGAAATCCACCCTTGAACTGAACTCTTTGCTGATGCGAATCAATAGACGCTTGTCCTGTCAAGTTAGAGTTGAGTTTTCTAGCATTCGGCACCGAGAAATCACTTCATTATGTAGTCTTTTCTAAATGACCTGGGAGGAAAACCACAGCCCAAATTTGAGCTAGACTAAGAATGTCCAAAACCAAAAAATTGCAAATGAATCACAATGTATAACTTCACTAGGTTCTCAGCTTAAACCCTCTCTCTAGGGAAGATGTGGACTCTAATCCAAATGAGACGTTCAACTTGGAGAGTCAAGTAAGTGTTACCTGGTAATGAACTCTGTGGGAGCCAGAAGAAACTGATTGCAGGTCCTGGTGAGAAAATGGAAAAAAAAAAATATATTCAGGCCTTAAGATTAGTTTGAACAAGCTGCTGCCACAACTCTATCCCCTGAACTCCCAATTTAATATTATTAAAGTCATCTGGAAAGTATCTAGCTCACCCAAACTCCTCAAGGTTAAACAAAGAAGACAATGCCAAAAATAATAAAAGCACACCAAGTTGGACTGAGAGAAGAAAGGCCGTTCAGCTATAGAAACTTGTAAATTTTAAATAGTGTTTACAGGTGACTGATAGATTACAATTCCAAGGAAAAAAGAAGGCCAAGAGTAAAAGACAGCAACTTTTTTCTAATAAATGGGGGTCATGTTTCATTTGCACCTGATCTTTTGGCGTGGGAAGAAAGCTTCTAAAAGTCTCCCTTGAAGCACTCAGAAAGAATGTATTTATCTTAGACCAAATACATACTGTCCTGGTAATTGTGTTTATACTGATCAGTTGCTTGGCAAACACGGGTTTTCACGGACCGCAAAGAGAAAATCACTGGGCTCCTCCGCATTATCGTGGAGAGCAAATCAACAGGTTTGAATGAACGAGGTTTTACTGGCAGATTCCGAGAGCTGGCTCCCTTGAGAAAGTTTTATAACTAAGTGGTCGCCACAGTCAAGTCCCACAGGCTTCTCTGTTAATGCGTGTATTGCTTCTATTCGCAGTCAGCAATCCTGGGTAACTTTGTTCTCATACCTGCTTCCCACTAGGATCCATCAACTTTCTCTCTGTGCCCAAGTTAGTTTTAAAATGTTGCCTCTATGCGTTCACTCGTTCCCCGTGTCTCCCCCTCTGCCCCTTTTTTGAACCCCACTTCTTGTGGAATATTGGTGTGATGTGCATGGCAAGAAGTTGATTTTCAACAGTTACGTATTTTAGCTACTGTGAAATCTTGTTCCTTGAGTGTTAAGGGGGGGAAACATTTGGTAACCATTATGATTAGCTTTCGATTGCAGATTTATTGGGTGTGGTTCAATAAAATACAAGCACGATTTTGAAAACTGAGATACGGTGTCCCTGAAATATTGATTTGGACCTGAGTCACATGCTAAAAAGGTCACAACTTTTAACATGTTAGAATTTTCCTTGGTGAAAAATAACCAAGGAAGGCACACAAGTATAAGATTTGTTGGCTATTCTCTCACCCGTATCAGTATTCAAAATTTAGCATTGAATCCAAAATGTTTTGCATACACAATTTCTCTAACAATGCTGAAGAGAAAAATTAGTAATTTTTTTTTACATTACTTTATGCCTCCTACCTAAATTTATTTTAAGAGAAATAAAATCTAATGTTTAAAGCTAAGTGGCTACAACTTGATAGGATTCTAAACACTATATAACTTCTTTATTTGTGCCATTTATGGATGCATAGTTTGTTGCCTGAAAGAGAGCTGCTAATTTGGGGATACCCATTATCATCACCCAATAGCTTTAAAAATACACATGTCTAGGCCGCATCCAAAACAAGTGATTCTAATGTGCAGCTTTAATAAAGAAACAATGCTAAATAGTGGCTATTTATGCTCTTTGCCATTTGCAAAGTAAAGGAAGTGACTTCCTCCCCTTAGAGTTTTATACAAGTAACCATTGACCACTGCAGGGAAGGGGCTGGGTCTCCTGGCTTTGCTGGTGCAGTTTAAGTTCTCGGGAAGGTCATATATGAGATCTCTTCCTCTCTCTTTCTCTATGGTAAGATCAGATTGAGGGAGAGAGAGAGAAAAAAGACTATTTCTTTGTGTTCTGACACAAATGTCTATGAAATATAGAAAGTTTTTATTTCCTGTTCAATTTACCTTTTTTTTTTTTTTTTTAATCTAGCTGTCTTGGACAAAAGACTGTGCTAGTTACAAAATATTAAATAAATAAGCCCAAATCTCTGTTTCCTTTCATCATTTATTAGTGCCCTTTGACATTCTGTAGACCTCAAATTACAGGGATGTAGTCTGGCTACAGTTCCAAGCTGCAGTATGGATCACAGGAGAACACCACCACACTATAATTAACCCAATTGATCCTTTCCCATTTTTCCACCTAGCAGGAAAATGTATGGTGTGTGATTAAAAGACAAGGCCACCACATTTCCATTTCCTCCCCAAATGCATCATTTTGGAAACAAATGAAGATGGCTGGGAATTGTTTTAAAAGATGGAAAACTGAGCAAAATGTATTCGTGGCTCTAGAAACTCACCTCCTGTAGGCGATCTATGTACATACGGCAAGTCTCCAAGTCACAGTCTCCATGCACAACTAGAATACCCAGAGGAATAGCTAAGGGGGAAGAAAAGAGAAAAGTCTAGAATAAAATATTTGATTTTTCTAGATGGGCATACATGTGTTTCTGAGGGTTTTAAAAAAAATCTCTGAAATATAATTTTTCTTTTGGATAGTTCAATGCAAACTTCTCCCTATACCTCCTTTCTGATCTCAATCTCTCCATTTCTCCATAAGAAAATCTCAAAATCTTGAATTAACCACATTAATCTCATCACACTCTTTTCTTGAATACCATGTTGTCCCCTGGCCAGCCTTCATTTCACTTCTTCTCATTGGTTCTGATATGAAGTGCAATGTCATGGAAATGGTGGATTGGCACAGCCAGCTGATAACATATGCCTCCATTTACAATAGTCAAAGTATCAGAGAGAAATTAAAAAAAAAAATCATGATCCTGGACACTTACTTCTTTGTGTCTAGTATGGGGTTTAATATTTCTGTCTGTCTGTAATATTTCCCAGTCTGAGAGACTCACCTACTCAAGGCGCCATTACTAACTGCTGGCCAAAAGCAGAACTAAATAGGCATAATGTTAAAGAAAAAAAGAAAAAGCTTCCAGAAGGTTAACAGCTTAAAAATCCAACTGATCTTGCCCTGGCCAGTGGTGTCCAGGGGTTAGAGTGTCAGCATGCACACTGGAGGTTCTCAGTTTTGATTCTGATCAAGGGCACATATCTGGGTTGCAGGTTCAATCCCCACCCCCAGTCAGTGTATGTGTAGGAGGCAATAATTAATGTGTTTCTCTCACCTCTCTCTCTCTCTCTGTTCTCTCTCTCCCTCCCTTCCACTCTCCCTCTCTCCCTCTCTCTCTTTTACTCTCTCTAAAAATCAATAGAAAAATATCCTCACGCCGAAACCGGTTTGGCTCAGTGGTAGAGAGAGCGTCGGTCTGCGAACTGAAAGGTCCCGGGTTTGATTCCGGTCAAGGGCATGTACATTGGTTGTGGGCACATCCCCAGTGGGGGGTGTGCAGGAGGCAGCTGGTCTATGTTTCTCTCTCATTGACGTTTCTAGCTCTCTATCTCTCTCCTTTCCTCTCTGTAAAAAATCAATAAAATATATAAATATTTTAAAAAATATCCTCACTCCTCAGGTGCGGGTTACAAAAAAGTCCAACTGATCTTAAAGATGCTCAGTGTAAATGTGGTAGCGGCAAGTCTGCAGGAAACAATAAGTGAAGCTACTAAGTGCCTTAAACATCCTATTTAGGTTGAGACAAATGTCATACCATGACTCTATTGGACAGAACGTCCTACTTCAGAAATAACCATAAGACTCCTGAAATACTGAAAAAATTATCTCTTTCCCAAAACTTCAAAAAATGCATGTGCTTATTTCTGATTTTAAAAGTATAATTATATTATTAAATCCATGGTTTAATAAGAAAAATCTCAAAATCTTGAATTAACCAGCTAAAAACCAGCAAGCAGATGATATGACAGTAGTACTCACTAAAGGTTTTTTAAAACCTTTCACTCATTGAATTTATTTTTAAAGCCTAATCATCAATAAATGGATTTGAAAATGTTTTACAATTTAATAATACAAATAATAAAATACATTTAAAGTGCATGGAAAAATCTTGAACCCACAGAGTAGTAGAGAAGACATACATATAAATAAAAAATAACAATAATCTAACATAAGCTAAAGTAAATATGTGAGCTTAGTCTTTTGAAAACTGTAGGAGAGAGGGACTAATTCTTGCCTAAAACTCAGATTTTAGGCTTTTTGAAGATATGAAGCCACATTAGGTCTTTCAGTTAGAGAAGCAAGGGTGATCGAGGGAAAAAGAAAAGTCTATTTCTCAATATCACCTCCCAGATTGGTTTCCTCTAGAGAGATCAATACCTCTATCCCATTTCTGTAGCTTCCCAAAGTCTTGCACACATACAGCTTGAAAGCAGCCATCATCTTTACAACGATGTGTAAGCCTGTGAGTGAGTATGGGCTCTCCCATCAGATATGACTTGTTTATCTTTACTGCTCCAATGTCTGGTCGAGAAATGGTAGATGTTCAATAAAAGCTTGTAAAATGTGGGAGGAAGAGAGGCTTACGACCTGTTCAAGTGTGAAAGGGAAGTGTATCTTTAAAAGCTGAGAAAACGTTCCAGGGTAGGCAAAGAAGCAAGGGTTTGGAGCAAGAGGAGAGAGCATGCATTGGGTTGGAGCTTGCCTTTGTCCATTCTTCTCAATACTAAGCAGGAGAGGCAGTAAGCAGTGGGAGTAACACTGCAACTGTCCCATGTTTCCTTCTTTTAAATATAAACAGAAACATTGAAAAAGTCTTCAGCTGGATAATCATGCATCTTTGACAGAAATGGAAGGGAATCCATAAGGAGATACTTGAAGGAATTGATTAAAGTATGCATCTTCAGCTAGACTACTAAATAGATACAAATAAGGTGATCCACTGAGGTAAGAGGAGAATAAGGATTTATAATAACTATTACATAAGGAATGATGAGGAAAGCTATAATTTTGGCCTAAAATATAAGTCAAAGTTTGTGGCAGCAGAACATAGTAAAAATTAACATGAGAGCCTATGTTAAAATCTTGCTTAAGGATATCTTCTTTTAATTTCAAATGCATAAATATAAAGGAATAACATTTAATCAATATTTAACTATTTGCTTAAATTAGAACACATTCTATAGGAACACCGGAATCCTGTCAACACCCCTGATTTCCTTCTATTATCAACCCTTGGGTTCGTCTGCTCATCCATTCAATGTACTTGGTAGCAGATATTTAAACTGAAATTAAACAATGGATATTTCAGATGTGTAATCAACAAGGAATAGCCAGGGGAAGTTTTCAAAGATGTGTCATTCACTTCTACTATGAGTTTAAAATCAGCAGCTTTACCTCCTGTCCTCAAGAAGCTTATTAAGAGAAACCATGCTTTTTATTATTAGCTATTTATTGGCATTTTTTTAAAAAGAGAAAGGCCTCCTCTACCACAATGTCATTGCATGATTACTGACAATTGTTCAATTTATCCAGGGTGTGGTAGAAAGGATTTACAGCCATTCTTTCTGGGGTTCACTCCCAGCACTGATTTGATTTTATGAATTACCACTAAAGCTATTTGGTCATGCAAGTTACTCAATTCCTCTGATCCTCAGATTGAAGTCTATGGTCAGTAGGTATTTCCTAGGACTTTGTGACTGGTAAATGGAGCACTATAAACATGGATTACTTCTCCTTTACTACCTTGACTCTCTTTCAAGCATCTTTAGCTAGAAAGTGGATTCATCCAATTATCTATCTTTTCATTTGTCATAATACTATAAAGATTAGCTGGTAATAGTTCTGTAAGTTATATTCCTATTTACTTAAAACTAACTTCTACTTTTCTGCAATGGGAAAAATATTGTAATGTGAAGATACTGTAATCTGACATTTCCATTGGGGGCTTACATGGTTATGAGAAAACTAAAGTTGTAGGAAATAACCACCTTTCTTTTCTCTTTGTCCCTACCTAGTTGGATCAAATGTATTTCTTAATTTCTAATAACTGTATTCCTTGGCTGGTTGAGGACAAATTTCTTTCCTTTACTCTATCCTACCTTTCTTATTCTCACTTTCTTATTCACTTCTCTGTCCCTCCTATCAAAACATGCTCTCTGATGATTCTTAATTCTTTAGTATATAAATGACTAATAATTGATTAAAGTGTTAATCCTCTAAGGAACACTTGAGTTTTAGCATGCCTGACATTTGGGCTAACATAATTGTCACAGGCGGTATTTTGTGTGCCCCCAAAATTGATATGTTGAAGCCTTAAAACTCAAAGTGATGGCATTTGCAGATGCAGCCTTAGGGAGATAATTGGGTTTAGAGGAAGACATGAGGAATGGAACTTACTGATAAGGTTAGTAGTCTGATCAGAAGAGATATCATAGAGTTTTCGCTTGTGGGCACTCTCCCTTTCTCTCTTTTCCCTCTACCTGAGGACACAGCATGAAGGTTGCCATTTATAGCCAGGGAGAGAGCAATCATCAGAAACTAAGTCAGCCAGCATCTTTTCATGGACAGTCCAGCCTCCAAGACTGTGAGAAAATAAATGGTTTAAACCATGCAGGGTATGATATTTTGTAATGGTAGTAACCCTAGCCAACTAAGACAATAATAAAGCTTTGATAAATTTACATACAGAAATATGAAAGACATTGTGGAATTAACTGGCAATCATCAGCACTAAGAAAATTATCCTACCAATTACATCTTCCCAGCCAAAACATGAGCCTTGATCTAGCTCCCCCCTCAGGCTTGATCTGACCTCAATTAACCCCCTTTCCCTATTTCAGTTTATATAAATGCTGCATAATTTAGACTGTGATTAGGTTAATTGGCTAAAAAATCCATTATATATTTTATATGTGGATGCTCTGGGTTTTATATGTGAAATAAAATGCCAACAAGTCATACAAATTAATTTTGCCTTTTATACTTGAAGTTAGGACTACTTGGACTCATTATGCAAATTTATGCCAAACAGTGCTTAAATTAAGATCATTCATCTTCAACAAATCCAAAATCTTCTAGCAACCACTCCACAAGTATACTCTTTTATCTGTAAAAAATTAGATGCACTGAAATAAAGTTTGGTCTCTAAACTATAGATTTCTTCACAAATGATAAGCAGAGTCAGAGAAGAGACCAAGCTCAAGTACTCTATGAATGGATTTGAATTGCCCAAAAATTTAAAAACCAAAGTTTTAAAAATCTATTAAATTGAAATTTCTTAGATTTTTTTTTTAAAACATGATTTTATTCATTTTTAGAGAGAGAGGAAATGAGAGGGATAGAAACATTGATAAGAATCATCAATGGGCTGCCCCTACTGAGAATCGAACCTGCATCCTGGGCATGTGCCCCGACCAGGAATCCAACCAGCCTCCTCTTTGTCCATGGGTCAACAATCAACCACTGAGCCACACGAATGAGGCTAGAGTTTTTTAAGAAAACCTGAACAATGTTTTACAAAG